TTGCCCTTGTTCTGCTCGTCCGTCCCGGACACGCCTGTAGCGGGGCGCGCGTGGTGGCGAGGCTCGGACATGGGGGCAGGTGGGGGAGGGGGGGGGGGGGTTGGAGGCAGTGGCTGTGGCCCGGGAGGGGGAGGGACGAGGAGGGGGGGGACGAGGAGGGGGGGGCACCCGCAGTGCTAAGCAGTTGAAAGGACGGGTCATGTGCCGCCGCCGCGGCGGCAGCCGGCGAGGGCGACGCGGACAGCGGCGGCGGAGAGGGCGAGGCGGACGGCGGCGGCGGAAAGGACAGCGAGGCGGACGGAGGCGATGCGGGCGGCGGCGAGGGCGGCGAGGCCGGCGGCGAGGGAGGGCACGCAAGCGAGCCCCGCGAGTTGTAGGAGGAGGGCCACGCGCTCGTCTGTGCGACGAAGCTTGCGTGCATGAGCGCCTTGTTGCAGTCGCTGAGGGAGGAGGCGCCGTCGAACATGTCGTCCATGTCGATGGCCGCCGACACGTCCCACGAGCTGAGGTCCTTGTCGAAGGAGGAGGCGCCGGAGAATATGTAGGACATGTCGAGGTGGCATGCACCGCATAAGCCTAGACACTTCCGATACACGTGTGAGTTTTGACACGTGACAGCTGCAGCAAAGCTGTGTTCGACGTGCAGCCCCCGCGCCCCACAACAGTACTTCTTCCCCTCCGCCACCGAGCTCATCTCGGACTTCTCGGAGTCGCTGCCCATGCAGAATCTCGCGGGCGCAATGTCGGCCCAACACCGTCACAAAAGTGATGCACGTATTGGGAGCGCGACTGCAGCGCTTGCAGGAGGGCCCAGCGCACAACCCCTGGTCAACTCACCCTCCAGCTCCACACCCCGTACCGTAGGTGGGGGGGAGCGCGGGGTCCGGGGAGAGAGAGGTCGGACGTGCACACGTGGGTCAAGTACAAGTTGCATTTACGCCAGTAAAATCTAAAACGGGGTCGCGTGTATCTGTATCGTGTACATGGCTATCTATGGGCTGCCAGCCCCGTTTATGCATTATGGTCAAAAATAAGAACCTCGTTATCAAAAGACACATCCGATCTGCGAGCCATCCCTTCTCGAGACGCATCCGAGCCCGCGCCGAGCTGCGCGCCGAGCGCGCACATGCCATCCGTCATGATACAGTAAGTGAGGGTACTCTACGATTCATTCCCGTGCA